TGAAGGCCTAAATGGATCCACGCTATCTTGATAACTGCATCTCCCTTTGTGAGCCTCCCTGGATGTTAAGAACATTGGTCAGGCCTTTCTCTCACTCCCACTACCCTCACAGGTATGTTTGGTGGGGGTATAGCAGATGGCCTTTTCTGCTGCTGCTCCAAGACCCGGGAACAATTTCTCAGGGGAGGCCAGGCTGGCCACATCTTTGCTATTCTACAGCAAGTAGGTGAACCTTTCTCTTCAGCCATGCTTTTCCAAATAACTGGCTGTCTAAGAGAGGTTTTTAAATGGGATTGTTCATATTTTTGTTGCTTTTCAATCTGCTTTAATACATTTACCTAACTTTTAAAATATGTTTATTTAATTCCTTTTAAACAATTTACTGGTTTTAGTTTTTAATATGTTTTAATTATTTAAGCCACCTTGCATCCTTTTTAAAGGAGACATGTGGGCAAAAATATTTTAAAATAAAATAAAATATATCAAGGGGGCTGATGAATTAGGCACTTTGCATGCAAAAAATCCCAGGTTCAATTCTAAGGTAGGGCTGGGAAACACTGAAATCTTGGGAGCCACTATCAATGAAAAGTAGACAACACTGACATAGGTGAGCCAGAGAAAGGTCCTGCGCTTGAGCGATGTGCCTTGCTTTAATGCAAGGATAAAGTACATGTAGCTCTCCAGACATTATTTGGCTACAACTCTTACCAACCCTAGTCAGCACACTTAATGGTGAGAAATGTTGGGAGCTACAGTCCAACATCTGGACGGTTGCTCTTTGTCCACCCAGCTAAGCAAGGCACTGAACTCATACCAAGTGTGAGATTTTACACTGGGATTTGCCTAGCTGATTCATAGAAGTAACCCCTACATTGCCACAGGAATTCCCAGCTTTGAGGATGTGGTTTCAACACCTGCCAGTAGTTTTCTACTCCCCAATCATCTGTTCTAGCTAGTGCAATTCTACCTCTGCTAATTATTGACTATTTCAGCTCCCTCTGGATAATGTAGAAATTCAACTTGAAGACTGGTTAACGGAGGAAAAGGACAACAGGTCCAATGATGACATTAGGCTTAGAGAATTTCCTACAGGAAACAAAGAAAGTAATCTTCTTCAGTTAAGGAAGAAACATGCTGCTTATAGCTGATTTAAATGTGTTGCCATGGATAAGCCAGAAGGTGAAATTAAACTAGAGTTAAGAGCACAACCTTTGCCATGACCATAGAAAGGGGAATGCCAAGAATGAGCAAATATAGAAACAGTATTCTTTCAAACTACCCCATTCATAGCTGCTGGATAGCTCAGTGGTTTAGGCATCTGGCCGTGCAGTCAGAGGTAGTAGTTCAATGCTTCACTGTGCCTCTGTGACACTGGCTGGCTCCAGTGATCCATAGGGTCCCTTCCAGCTCTTCATCTCTAAATTAACACAGTTAAATTTTTCAGGCAGTGAATTATCTGTTACATTCTTCCCCAAATCAGTCCTGCAATTTTTTTTAAAGAAAATAAATAAATAAACAAATAAATATTAACATTAACATTAACATTAACATTAACATTAACATTTATTTATTTATTTATTTATTTATTTATTTATTTATTTATTTATTTATTTTATTGGATTTCTATCCCGCCCATCTAGACCAAAGGTCTACTCTGGGCAGTTAATACTGATAGTTCCTTCACTCTAAAAAAATAGCAATACAAATGGCATACCTCTTCATGATTCCAACCAGTTCACAGTAACTCTGGGGTGAGATGTTTTCTCCAGTTTATAACCATCTCCTGTTCCCACTCACAGTCAACAGCAGGACCTCACTGCCTTTCTTTAGGGTCTTGCAGAGGCCTTAGAGAGCTCAAGAGTCTCATTCCTACACCATTTCCTGAAAAGGATAGAAACATTTAACTGAGCAAACACTTTGCAGAGGCTTTGAAGAGTTCAAGAAACAACAGGTTGCTTACTTGTAACTGGTTCTTTGAGTGGCCATCTGTACATTTGCACACAAGAGATTTATCTTGTCCATGTGCAGCCCTCTAGAACCCTTCCCAAACTAAATCAATAGCCACTTGGGTGAGCCACCGGTATAAATAAGTAGGGCTCCCAGCTAGCCTCAATTCTAAAAGTCTACTTCTGAATGTTAGCTGTAAGAGTAAAGAGGCAAACCTTCTGGAGAGGATGGTGAGATGTGTGAATGCACATATGACCAGATGAAGAATCCAAGTTACAGGTAAGTAATCTGTTCTTCTTTGTGGTCTCTGTGCATCAGACATATATATTAGTGCTTAGCAAGTTGACTTACCAGGTGGTGGGTGTCATCATAGTACTGAAGATAAGACTGTGGGGCCATAGAGAGCTTCCTGGCCAGCTTAGAGATCTAGTCAACGATGCCAGACAAAACAGCTGTGACAAAATGGCACACTGCTTTCAGCAAGATGCCATGTATCCAGACTGTGGAAGACGTCATGGCTCTTGAGGATTACTGTAGGTTAGGTTGTATGTGGAACAAATAGTGGCTATGGTCCACTTTGAAAGTTGCTGGGCAGATGGGATGCCCCTTCTTACCACGGCCATTGATGACAAAGAGGTGAGAGATTTGTTAGAAGTAGCACCCCCTTTAGGTGTAAAAATCTAACGCTCTTATGACAGATACTGAGTGGAATGAGACTAGGGTAGGGTAGGAAGTGGGGAAGAAAATGTCTTGTCCTCAGTGGAAGCGAGAAACCAGTTTAGGGAAGAATGTGATATGGTCGGAGGAAGTCCAGAAAAGGGCAATGGTCATGGCCCAATGGGCTGAAGTGGCAGTGACTTGAAAGGTTACTTTGAAAGAAATGGCACGTATGTCACAGGTTGCTATCGGTTCAAACATATAGCCTTGAAGTCTTGTCAGGAAGAAACATGGGCTCCAATTGGGTGCTTTTTCCAATTGGGAAAGGTGGAGTAACTGGGGACAGAAAGAGGTGTCAGAAGCCCCAGAGGAACATTATGATTGGTGGAAGCAAGAACCATGAGTGCCCTTAAGGTTGAGGGCAATAAGTGGAAATGGCAGCCTACCAAACATGGAAGAATGGCAGGGAAAGGCTTTGGATTACTTGAAGTTGGATAGTGCAGGAGATGAACCAGTGCCAAATTAGCGTGGTGGATGGAGAAGACTACTGCTGATGAAGTAGTGGACCAAAGAGAACTGAAGCTAGACAGGAGGCACACATGTTTATATCAGCAGGCATGATGGTCAGGACTCCCACCAAAAGCATTTTCCTTTTACCTTTGGAAGAGTCTGAGTCAGCTGTGGCAAACTCCCTTAATGACTGGCTCCTTGAGTGGGGTTCTTAATTGGATTGTTGTGCCTTACTGCTTTGAATGTGTTTTGATGTTCCTTCTGTGGTATTTTGTGTGGTATTTGTTTGATGCTTTTCAATATCTGTATACTTATTGTTCTTAGCTTTAAATAGGTTGCTTTTCATTATGTAAGCCACCTTGGGTCCTTCTTAAGGAGAAAGATGAGGTGAAAATATTTTAAATAATTTAAACAAATGTGTGATTCACAGAGACCACAACAATGAACTGTTTATTGTCTATCAGTTCTGAAATGATGTATTGACGGTTTTGTCAAATTTTAAGTTTCCTCTGAATTCCTTCACACATTTCTACCACAGGCTTATCAAATTTATATGGGTATGACCATTACTAGCATTTCACTCTTTTCCTCACACTTACATTATGACAAATGGGAGCTTTAATGTTTTGGTAGGAAGAATTTATTCAATGCTTGGTATGCATACTGGTTTCACCTACTTCCAAAGCAATCAGGAGAGACACAAGAAGAATCAACCAGTCTCTCCCTTAAGCATTGTACTATCACAAAAAAACCATGTTCTTTGTATTAAACTTAAATACATCTTAAAATTAATTGTATCCATAGATAGCTTTGAGATATTTCTGGTTATACCTTTCTACCTGCTTGGGAGCAAAGAATCAAATCTTTATGTACCTTGATGTACTTCCTGGTTAAAAATTTAGAACCAGCTGAACTGCAGTTTTGCAGAACAAAGGGAGAGAAGGAAAGATGAAATGTGCCTTGTTTCCTAAATACTGTGACTTATGCCCAAGGAGGCATTTTTCTAGTGGGGTATTTGGTAGCTTCAGATAACTGTTCATGCCACTTTTGATACACATCTACATTTGTATTCTACTAAGTTCTAAATATGGGTAAAATTAAAGCAGAAAGCTTTGATTGGTGTGCAAAGTTATCCAAACAATCTTGTTGATGTAGTTACATCACAGAGCCAGATGATGTGATCATATGGAAAGTGGAATAATTCAAATGAATTGAAAGCTTCCTATACCTATTTCAGGTTCTGAGACTCCCTAGTGTTCCCATTTGCACTGGGGGAAGCCTTTAGGAGCATCATGATGGGGGAGGGGGAGAGCCTTCAATAATGAAAAAAAAACTGCCACCAGACTGCCAGCACCAAGATTTGGACCACTACTGGTGGTTGGTTGTTTTTTTTTTAGAAAAGCAATTAAAGGTTCTCCATCCAAGATGCCCAAAGACTTCCCCAAGGGAGCTTCAGAACCTGAAACAGAGGGATAAGAGTCTTCCAAGTGATTTCAATTAAATATTCCCTTTGCTGGATGATGAATGACATCATCCAGCTTTTTTAACTTAACGCCAACAGAATTTTGACCATTCTTTGTTTCACAAATGACATGAGAATTATTATCCAAACGACTTCTCTGACAAATAGAGGATCATTTACTGGGTGTATGTACATGCATCTTTTAACACAAACAGGAGGCAGTTGTTGATTTACAAAATTAAATGTTGAGTGTTCAAATGTTATTTTATGTAACATAAGGGAGGGGGAAGAATGATATACGAGAGCGTTATCTACTTTTCAAAAACAACTGTTCACTGACAGATACATAAAGGCTTGCCTGAAAACCTGGCTCAACTTGCATGTTACATATTATCTCCATAAATAAAGCACCATCACTACAGTCTCCTGGTTCTTGAATATGTATTCCTTTTACTGAAAAAATCATTCATAAATTAACAAATACAAAAATGTACAAACACATGGGTAAATAAATGTAATGACAAAATGGATTGCTTTGCTGAAAATTGTGTGTTTCAAAACACTAGATTTCAGTGCAAAAATGTAACCCTGGCACCTGATAGAAAACATAAGAGCAAGCTCAAAACAATAGGATGAAACAAAGTTACATATGATTTAATAGTATCTTTGACAGTAGTTGTTTGGAAATGCATGGTGGTCACTCAGCTGGTAAACTCATTCATAGGAGCTTTTACAAAAAGTTACTGATTTTGAAACAAATATTGTAGCAAATAAAGACCCACATGGCTCATACAAAAACATACACATTTTATCATAGTGCTCTGCCCCCTTAACAGTTTGCTGACACAGTGCCATGAAGATGGGGAGCAGTGGTATTGTTGAAATTTCAGCTGCCAATGTACAGTTTTTAAAATGATTTAAAAAAAACATCATATCACATGCGCTTGACAGTTATGTTTTCAACAATTACATTTACTATACAGTATTTGACTTAGCTGATAAGGAGTAACAGTGCACATTTCAAAGACACTCCATATTAAAAAAATAAATCAAAAAACCAAACAAAACAACAAACAAAAAACCCCACAAACCCATTGATTAAGAAGTGAAATGGGCTCTTTCATTCCAATCTTTTACAAGTGCATTTCTGAGCAGAGATTATTCCTCTTCTCATCTAACAAGAGAAAGTATAATACAGAGATGGTCTACCTTGACAGTCTGAAGATTTGAACTGCAAGATAGCCTTAAGTTTGTCTGGGCATATGTACATGTGACCTTGAATTCAGATAGTTTGAAATACATTCCTCAACTGAAGCACCATCAAATAAAACTGTTGGTTCCTGCCAGGTTTCTGGGTTTAAAATAAGGACTAAGAAATGAAAGTATCGATGTTATCCAGGCATGAAAAATATTAAAACGGAGGGGTCTTTATTGCTATATGCGCCATTAAAGAAAGAAAAGGGAAAAAAGACAAAGTCTTACCTTTGCAGCAGCCATGAAAGATTCCTTTATGAAATATTTTAAAGCACACATCAGCACTCTCAAGGGCAGGCTAGCTGCTCTTTCATATCGGCTGATAAAGCAAACACACACATACACTCACACGTATAACTCTTCTGAGATACAAAAAAATAGGCCTGGTTAGTCACACCCACAATCAATGTATATGGGGGGTCATACATCCACAGAACCCAAAAAACTATGTGTAAACTATGCAAGTTAACGAAATTGAAGGCAACAATGTAGTAAAAGAAACTGAAGTACTTTTCACATTAAGTACTCACAATCTGTGTCTATAAATATATAATATATATCTTAAGAAGCAATTCAACATTTACCAGAATTATAGGCCCTAGGCCAAAATAAAAAAACAAAAAACTTGTACACACTGGCCAAAATCCTACTAGTTATTTACATCTGCATTAAGTGAAATGGTAAATTGCAATCATGAATTGCTACAAGTTAATGAATAGCTGCTTCTATTCCTCATCATCCACTCACCAGTTGTGTATCTTGGCACAAAACAAAGAGTATAAGTAGCAACTAGTTAACTAGGAGCAATTTGCCACTGCAATTTATGCCACGGCACCTATGCCAACATAATAATCAATAGGAGTCTGTCCATTATATAAACAAATGGATTGGTTTCAAACCGGGGGGGGGGGGGCAAAATCAAAAAAAGCAAAAACAAAAGCAAAAACAAAAAACAAAAGGCACAAATCTAAAATGAGTTTCAGAAAAGATGTGGATTTCTGAAACTGGATGGGGGATATGGACCAAGCACTTCTGTCCTATACTCAGGGTTTTCCCCTGAACTAATCTCAATGCCCTTCATTCATATAATTATGATTTGGAGTCTAGATATATTTATCCCAGTATTTGTACTTGTGCAACTCTTCCTCTGGTTAATAATGATAACCAAGAGCTCTAACCTACAATTTTAGCCTATATTAGTTCAGTGTACAGTTTCATCTACACAATAAATATATCAAAATACTATTCATAACCAGCTGCCCATCAAATATTAAGCTCCATCAATCACTGTAGAACTTCCTCCAAAGACACATTTAATATTTGCAGACTTAAGTCTGAATGGAAATGTGTGGATAAGAGGAACAAGTGGAGATTTTGACATTTTTTGAGAACCTGTCCCTTATAAAATTGATGCTATATAAAATCTGCTTTTTTCTTGATGTTTCATTGCTACTATGGGATATATGGCAAAATTTGATGGATCAGTGAAAAAAATTGAAAGCCTGTATGATTTTAAGCTGTCCAAGATTAGCTTCAGTTCTTTTACAAACAGAATCCCTGCTCCTGAAGCAAGATTTCTCTCCCCCCCAATAAGCACTGCTATGGCTTCCATTTGTTAAGCTTCAGAAGCTGAGGACAAGGTCACAATCCTGACAGCAACTAGGAAGAAGACCCAAAGTGAATTACCTACATGAATGTCATCATAATGTGCTGAAGTGCTTGAACAGGCGGGGGCTTACTTGAGTTAAGTTGTAAACCTTCACTTCAGTTTTGAATTGTAAAATAATTTTTTAAAATAAAAAAGGAAAGCAATTTATACAGCTTATTTACACCTACACTTCTTTAAGAAGTGATTCTTTTCTGTACATATATTTATATATATTTTCTTCTTCAAGCAGGTCAATTAGAAAACCAATACAAACACAAATGTAGAGAATGATATCATTGTTAGGTAGCAGTTCATCTCCCATTAAGGCGCTACTGCCTACAGGATAGCTTCCAGCATCCAAGTCAAGAAGCCCAGAGCGTCCTTTTCAGCCAAACTGGTTTCATGAGCAGAAAAGCACATTTAATCACAGTTTGGTACTGGAGATTGTTCAAGGAGATGGAATGCTTGGACAAAAGCAGCAGGTCACACCACTGTTCTTTAAAAAAAGAAACCCAAAAGCAAGTGAAGTCCAAGCTCGCTCCACAGTCTGAATGAGTCTACAGTCTGACGATCTGTGTGCGTGCTTTTGAGTATTATTCTTCAAAATACTGTGATCCTTCATTAGATACAAGATTTTCTTTTTGTCCAGGAGACACTTACAAAACAATATCTCAACATGTCTTTTTCTTTCATATTTTCCTAGTATTCATTCACCAGAGCCAGCTCTGGTGTAAGATTGACAGTTATGTTTTTATACAAGGCGTGATATGTAATATTTGGAAAATAGTTCAAGTTATTGAGACCGTCTAGTTCTTGCCTCTCTTTGGACTTTCTCAGCAGCGCATACCTAATGAAAAGAAGAAAGTTGGAAGTCGTTAAGGCCAGTGTGGTTCAAAATTCAAGATAACAGATCCACTCACAGAAATCTACATAGTCAGCATCGTTGTTTCTTATAAGATGACCTCCTGCCTCTAAATATGTTATTGCTTTTCTAGAAATAATACTATTCACTATAAGAGGGAACTAAAATCTCAGATAAGCATACCGAGTAGTATTTTTATACACCAATTGAGTTTATATTCTCAGATACACTATAGCATGAAAACAATGTAACTAAAAGCCCACCTCCTGACAAAAATACTTTGTCTGGAACTATTAGCCTGTTTAACAATGTCTTGCACTTATAACCGGACTTTAAAAACCATTCATAGTACTACACAGTACCAGAGTTTTCCTGGTATAGAACAATACCCATGGATTTTGGGGGGGGGGGGGGGCAGGATGGGACGGGACCCTATAATGGGACCTTGGTATCAATCATTCAGTTATTTCATAAAAACCTAGGACTTAGGTTCAAAAGAACACAAGGTATTCAATGGCCGAGGCTCTGGATATTACATGCTGCCCTTTAATACACAATCAAAACCAACCCACAGTCATCTGGGTTAGTAGGAAGCTGCTCTGACTTCAGGAATTAAGCACAACATCTGTTTGCCAACTGCAAGAATGCAATGAAAACTAGGAGGCAAAAAAGTATGTGTGTGTTTATTTCATTCTATCAAATGGCTGCTCAGGAAAAAGAGGAGGTTGGAAAGCAGCCCAGGACACCTTGTGTAGTACAGGCTCGTTCTGTGCTTAACTTCAACGGTACATTACAATTACAATTATTACACATACTATATTAAATTAGGGATGGGCAGAATGTAGATTTGGGTCTACTGGAAGATCGCTAGATGATTTGTAGTACCAGCAAGTTTCCAATTCTCATTTGTTTAATAACAATGGCGATGAAAAAGCTCTCCCTTCCTCTTGTTTTAAGTGTTCAAGTTCTTGGGGAAATCAAGAATATCTTTGTGCACTGAAAAGTCTAAAGGGCCTGATACTGGTACTGATTATAAATTTTTGGGCTAGGCAGATATTCAGAAACATCCTCCTTCTATACTTTTTAGTGCCTTTTGTTTCTGGGCTCTATAACTGCACCATTATTTTGTATCTGGACTCAACAGCTGGTAGATAAAACGCTAACAAAGAAAGATAGATCCCCACAAGTCTGAAAGGCCCAACCTAGCATAAAAACACAATTTTAGAAACTTTATTTATGTCTTTATCACCATCTCTTGTATTTAACAGCAACTGGCATTATACTGCACTTAAGGTAAAGGTAAAGGTTCCCCTTGACATTTAGTCCAGTCGTGTCCGACTCTAGGGGGCAGTCCGTTTCCAAGCCATAGAGCCAGCGTTTGTCCATAGACAGTTTCTGTGGTCACGTGGCCAATGTGACTAGACACAGAACGCTGTTACCTTCCCACCTTAGTGATACCTATTTATCTACTTGCATTTTTACATGATTTCGAAGTACTAGGTTGGCAGGAGCTGGGACAAGCAGATGGGAGTTCACTCTGTCGCACGGATTCAAACTGCTGATCTTTCGACCTTGCAGCAAGCGTATAGTTACCTCCAAGAAATCATGAGGACCAGCGCTATGGAAGATATTTTAGCTTCCCACTGAGAACCACATTCAAAATACAGTCATTGTAGAGACCTGGGCCAAAAGGATGCTCTTAAAACCACAAGAAGATCTGATTAACCTAAGCTGTAATGTGAGAAAAAGGCCTGAGACTGCAAGCCAGAAAGGACATTTGAATGCTTGAGGAAATTAAAAGTATTATCATATTAAAACTTTCAGTTATGCTTTTAAAAAAATGAAGTGAAACTCAGACCTTTCTAACTGAAAAATCTGAAAATGATCCAAAAGTTCCATTAAGCAATGTAAAGGGGAAAATGGTGTAAGGCAGGCAGTGTAGTCACAAATTGCCTCCACAGGAGAAAAATTGTTTTGCATTTCGTACAAACTCAAATAGGCTCCACTGCACACATAGACTGACATAGGCACAAACTCTAGCACATCAGCAATGTAGAACAAACAAGGACAGAGGTCACTGTAATGGCAGTAACACTGAATACTCAGGATCTGATTACAGCTCATTTTGCAAGATATGAACAGTTGGCTCTGATCTGGATGAGAGATTTTAAGGGAGAAGGTAATGATGATGTTTACTCTGGTCAGTCTTATTGCTGGCTTCTTCTGCCCAACACAATAACTGAGTGTTGCACAATGATAACGCAGACTTACCTCAGATCTGAAAAGAAGGATGTACAGACTGCCTGTAATAGTACTGTATAACTGCAAAACTCACACTGATTTTATTACAAATGGCCAGAGGGGGCATTTTTTAATACGACTATACTGTATGAAATGGCATTCACAAAGACACACTACCCAATTAATGAAGCACTGTGGACTACTGTGATGATGAGGCAAATGACAATGAAACCAATATTCAGGACAGACCTACAGTACTGTGCTTTGAACAAGAACCTGGAACTATTACTTGGAAACAATAATACCAACAGACACTTCATTTAGTTGAAATATTTGAAGATTTGGCAGAATTCTGAAGCTTTGTGCTAAGGCTGTCTGAAGACAAAGACAGCTAGACTACAGAGCCACAGAGACTAAGTATTTTATATTGAGTATGAATAGACGTGCGAGAATTCCCACTCCAAAGATGTACTGTACAGTGTGAGCATTTCTACTCAAGCTCCTACCATATGTATATATAGTATGTTTAGAGAGGAGATTTGTGTGTGTGTGTGTGTGTGTGTGTGTGTGTGTGTGTGAGTGAGTGAGTGAGTGAGTGAGTGAGAAAAAAATTCCTCTCTAAACATCAGTAAATGTGGTATATTGTACACTTGTAAGAATAATCTGACATGCTCCTGAACTTTAAAACTGGGTGGAGACTTAGCAAGAAACAGTCAGGCTAGCAACTGATATGGATATTTAGCAATTCTAAAGTATTTCTGGACACATATTGAGAAGACAAGGTTAATTAGAAAAGACAGTAACTCTGGGGAAAACTGAAGGCACCAAGAAATGCAAAAGATTGAGAATGAAATGGATTGACGCAATAAGAAAACCAGAGCCATAAGTTTGCAAGAGCTGGACAGGGGCATTAATAATAGTTTTTGGAGGTTACTAATTCATCGAGTCACCACAAGTTGGAAGTGACTTGAAGGCACATAAAAACAAAGTATATCTGACACTTACCTTCCTAAGAACTGCACTTCACCCCTATGATGATGGGGAATGGACTTGTATTTCCCTGTATCTCCTTCTGGTCGAGTCACCAAGTAGCCTGCATAATGCACCCTGGATGAAAAAATGAGGAAGAGAATAATTTCTCAGCTGCTTTAACTTCAGCATATGCCAGCACAACACACTTTTAGCAACTATCACCTTACTATGCTTTGTAGGCAAGCACTTCCAACAAAGTACCTAACTAAATGGGTGCATTTAAATTCCCATTGTAAGTAGATTGTGTCTGCCTACCTTGGTTGACATCCTACAAGCAGGGGGAATTTTTTTAAATATAGACTCCCCTCTTCTCTTCTCCAGCTTATTTATTTGCAAAGAATCCATTTCATGGTGTGGAAGCCAAGGTATAAAAGGAGAAAGTTTTCCATTACTGAAAATCACAAATGTAGGACAACTCAGCCAGCAGAAGAGATTTTTGGTAGTGATAGACGTCCTCCTACCATCCCATGGCTCCCACATGATGAGGACTTGTAAGAATCATCTGACACATTTCTGAACTTTTAAACTGGGCAGATATTTATCAGGGAATAGACAGACTATCAACATTATTCACAAACTGTACAAAGGAGTGATGTCATCACCCTTACGCAGGTAAGTTATGCCAACAGGGTTTCAACCAGTGATTGACAAATACAAGAACCTATGACAGAGTAATTCCAAACTTTGCTCACAGCTATAGTTAGTGCTGCTGTTCCCATTTTGCATTTTCAAGAAAGTAAGCTTTGTAGAAGAACTGCATTCTCAGGGAAAACAAACACTCTGAAAGCAAACTCAGACTGTGCAGAGATGGAAAGGAACAGATTAAGACTATTTCATAAATCATGGAAGTTCTTCCAGAAGTTACAAGGAGGTGGGAACTATCAAAGTGATCAACAAGGATGCTGGACAGCTTGAAAAAGGTGCAAAAAAGCCCAGCAACACAAATAATCAAGCAGTTGAAGCAACTCCTCTGTTAGAAAAACAACAAAAAATTGGGGCTAGTTATTTCAAGAAAAAAAAATCCAGGTATATTCCCCCACCACCATTGGAAGCAAGGGCCATCTACTGAAAGCAAAAGGTGGGAAACTGAGGGCCGATAAAAAGACATTTTCCCCATTTGGGTCTGTGACATTTGCTACCACAAGATATCTGTACTATGATGCCCACCAACCTGGATGGCTTTGAAAGGGGATTAGATAAATTCATGGAGAACAAGGCTATGTGTGACTAATAATCAGGATTGCAGGGAAATATGAGGAGGAGAATGATATTGCACTCATGTCTCATCTTGTTTAGGGGCTTCTCACAGCCATCTCACTGGCCACTGTGAGAACAGAATTCTGGAACAGACAGGGCTTTGGGCTTAGGCAGAACGGCTTTCCTTCAGTTCTTACTATTATTGTGCAAAGCTGGCAACTGCAGGGGCAGAGCCAAGTAACTTAAAAAGGAATGATAAGCCTGCAGGTTGTTTGCACTGCCAAGATGGGTGTGTATACAGTATGTGCCCAGCAAGACATGCCTCCAACCCAAACACTTCATAGATAAACCAACTAAACCATCCTGTCATGCTTTTATATCACAGTTATCTTTGTTCATCTGCTCTTATGGAAATCTGATAGTGGAAGGGGAGCCATGCATTTGAACTTCCATGTAACCCATTCCCTCCCACCTCTGTATTCAAAGTACCTGTTCCAAAGGTCATCATCCTCTCCACCCCAGCCCCAGAAGGCATTTGGAAAGCCATTGATTTTTTGGAATTGCTCCACAGTTAAGCCACTTACTCCTCCAAAGAACTCATTGTAAGGAAGTCTATATACAAATGTAAAAAACAAACAAACGAAGTTTAGTTAAGTTGCAACAATAGAACACATCACAGGTCACAGAATTGCCTGTTCACAGCTTTTAAATACAGTAATGTTAGTCACTGTTCTTCTGTGAACTTTTTCAAACTTCTTAACTTCATAAATAGGGGACTCCAGTTACTTACAGATACATATATTTATCCAGCTTTGCTGCAAAGTGTCTTGGCATCTGGCCACATCCATAATAGTTGCGGTCATTTTCAGGTATATGGTCAACATCATGGAAAATTAGACAATCCCAGTCCAAGTCCTTCATTGCTTCCCGAAAGCCAACATTGAACAGCATGGCACGGTTAAACGGTTGGTTACCAGCCTACAAGAGAAGCCCAGCATGTAATTGATCTGTACTGCTTTCCATCTTGCACTCAACTATTTGCAATGAATATGGACAAGTTCAATCAACTGCTTCAAACACTGGTTCACACAGAAAACACTAGCTTTCTCAAAGGTTGATAGATTTCATAGACTGAATTTATTTCACTAGACTACTGGCACTATGCCTTCATTTCTGACATGACAGGCAAATTAGGGCTATAGAAATAGTTTCATAATGATTTAGGACAATCTTATGACTCGGATACAAAAATGGTCACTGAAATTAGAGATTGAAAGCTAGTTCTTGAGAATTCCTGAAGCCAATTGTCAGCTCCCATGAGGAAAGTGCCCTTTTGTTCTGAAATGCAGTGGCAGCCAAGAAAGTCTCCTGAATTTGGAAACACTGGAAAAATTTGCTTTTTATAATTAAAATAATATGGACATTCTCTGAAAGAATTCCTATCCAAATTGCATTTTCTCCTTCTGGAGTGAACATATACAACCATCTTAGTCAGACCATTAGTCCATGTAGCTAAGTATTGTTTGTTCTTTTCTGTCTACTGGGATTTAAGCAAAAGTCTTTCTTTCTTTCCCAATCTAGTCAGAGTCTCCAGTACTGGGATGTGGAGGAATGCCCCTCCCCAAAGTTGCTAAACTGTTGGCTTAATCTACAGTAGCAGGGCAAACCCTCCTGGATGACATCACAGCTGCTTCTGGGAGGAGCTGCCACACATTCTTCTTCTTTCTCATAGGTGATAGAGAGCTTACTTAATTTTGCCCTTTCCTTGGGCCAATCATAATGGCATTATGTAACCACTGTCCTATCTGAACTCTGTCAACTATCTGTATACTGTCCACTATCTGTGAGCTTGTAAGGTTAATAAAACACAGTCCTCCTGGGGGCAGCAGGGCAGTTGTCTTGTATGAGGTCCTCTCTTTCTAGTTGCCCATCAGGAGCACTGCTGGCAGACATCCATCCTTGTGTGTGGCTGACTTCTTTAACTTCTCTAAGAGACTATTTGCTATCCAAATTACTTGTGACTACATATTTTATTTATTTATTTATTTATTTATTTATTTATTTATTTATTTATTTATTTATTTATTTATTTATTCATTCATTCATTCATTCATTCATTCATTCTATTTATATCCCGCCTATCTGCCTGCTCATTTCATGACTTCATGGGTTAGAATCCCAACACTGGGACTCTAATGTGTCTTACTAATTGTATTATATGGTAATGCTGCCTTTCTCCCAATGATGCAAGCTGATACTACTACTGACTCATAATCTATTAACCACTGAAAGAGGTACCAGAACAAAGTTAAAGAGCATCTGCTTGTTACCTAGAAGGATACAGGTAGGGTTTTCTCATGTTTTGAATCACAAATACCATAATTCATTCTGAAAGTTCCACCTGACATACAAACACCTATAGACATTTAAATGTGTCTCACCAGATAGAAAGGCCTAAGCTGGAAGGCCTTGTTGTCTAGCTAGGCCTAGCTCCCTGTTTATAAAGGAAGCAGCCCCACTTTTAATTGGGAGCTTCTAAACAGGACTTCTGCTAAAAGAAGGTGGTGAAGACTCCTCAGGAGAACTCCTATATCTGGGCAGTATTTGGTCTGGCACTTTGGCAGGACTGAATGGCAAGAACACTCTAAGAGTATTTTGTAGATTTAATGCTAGACCAATCATGACTAAGTCTCAGTATAGTGAAAAATCTACATTGTTAGTTTGTAAAAGTTATTGGCTTAGTGCAAGTAAAATGTTGTGGAATAACGGACTTAAAACTTCCTTAAGGAAAAGCCTGAAGGACAATATTTTGTAATCCAAAGCAGAGAGAGGCTTTGGAACATAAAAGGGACAGAAAACAATTTGATTTAAAAGCAGTTACAGTTTACCTGCAAGTAGGTTGGCATTCTCCAAGATCCCATTTACCCAGTACTGTACTACACTGATCAACCAGACTGGATCTGTAGCCTGGTTATTTTCTGCAAGCCGGAGGCTATATGCCCTAGAGGTCTTGCACAACAATGACTATATTATAGGTATTATAGTCTGTTGGGTAACAGACTAAGGAGGTTTGTTCAGAGATATCGGTCATGGGGCAAAAATGACAGATGAACTGGAGTAGCTGTGTATCATTGTCAAACTTATTCTGCGAGGGTTCACAAGATCCATGAAGTAAATACATTGTCAGAAAGTCCTTTTTGATGTCTTTGATGTAGAAATCTGTGTCACTGGAGAATTATGCTAGTAGATGTAAGTAACAGGATTCTTGCCCATAAGCTTTAGACTAGTACTGGGGTTCCAAACACCATTCACAAGAACCAAATTCCCTCTAAGGTGCACGACTGCATGTGTTACTCTGCCCCCGTGCGGACAGCTTTCCTCCTCTGCACAGCCCCTTTAAATCCAGTTCCAACAGATTCCTGTGCACACGCAGGGGAAAAGTCACACATGAGAGAGGTGTAGTTCCGCCCAGTGGGGCTGAAAATTAGAGGGTATGTTGATTATAGCTATACTTTTAGGTACATTCTGCGGATTTACAACTGTTGTACAAGAACCCTATGGGGAAGACAACCAACAATTACAAAACATATTGTAGGAAGAGAAGTAAGACTATTGCATTATACTTCCACCCAAGAGGACTTAGCTTTGCAAACCAAAACAGTGCACACAAATTCACTTACTTGCTCAATAACATAAAATGCGAATTGCAAGCGCTGGTGTTGCAACATTGGAATAAGATGCCTAAAAAGGACTGGCAGATGCTCATAACGATTACGGAATGGAATAAGGATTGCCACCTAAAGAGAGAAAAATACCATTAGTTAAGTCTCAGAACCACCTAAACTTCAGGGATCCACACACTATCCTTGCAATACAGCAAGCACAGCTTTCCAGAATTGCATCTGTAAGAATTAGTTACTGCCTGGTCTGAACATCCTCTACCATTTGTTGGGAAACAAGTGAGGATTTCATAAAGCCTTGTTTATTTAAAATCTTCTATGATTCAAGCTTCAGTTATATAATTCATCCCAGAAATTTTGCCTAAAGAGGGATTTCAGAATCTACTACAAACTTCCAGCCAGTTCCAACACAACAGGCAGGATAGTCTCCACCCATTCAGTCTTTGTAGACATGAATAAGAAGCTACAATGCCTGCAGATACCCACTACCGGCACAGCCCAAAAGTCCAGACTTACACAAGGAAACATCATCTAGTTTAATCTGGGCCCCTTTGGGGAATCCCAGTGCACTAAGATGCCAAACTTGGACGCTGAAAGGATATGCCATATGGCTTTCACAAACACATTTACTGCTATCTCTTGCAGTCTGTCAGATGCTTCTATTTTGAAATGCTCACTTCCTTGTTCTTCCACTAGTACTGTAATGAAGCCCACCTGGGTTTTGTTATTGCTACTGTTTTTTAAGAAGACAAGTCTTACTCTCTTGGTGTGGCATATTGTCAGAATACTGTAAAGTAGGGATCTAATTAATTCCAAGACAATAAGATCTATGACAACTTTAACGGCTACGTTAATGTATAACTGCACAAAAATTCTGAAGTGAATGTAGAAGAATCTACCAGAAAGTAGTTTCAGAACAGGCTACAAATCTTGTCTTGATGTGAGCCAGACAACAACTGTGGCAACCACTAAATTCATCTCCCACATCCTTGGGGATGTACAGAAGGTTCAGAAAAGAGAAACGGCTTTTCTATTTTGTGCCTAGTAAGAAGGAGGAAAGGCACAGCACAAGACACTCCTGATGCCTGAAAGGACCACCAGCTCTTTCTATAGCACAGCATGTGCAGCTAAAACAAAAAGTCAATGATGGGGTTTTTCTGTACTGCTAGGCACCTTCCTTGCCAAAGGTCTAGAGACAATTGCTGGCGAGCAGATTTGTGAGTGGCTAGATATGGATTGCATACCATATACAAAATAATCATCAAGAATCAGCTGATATATTTATTGGCAAGACTCAGAATCAGGAATAAGCTCATTAAATTTGCAGCTTTCAGACAGAACTACAAGAAGACGGCTTAATTTCTTTAGTCACATGAGCCCAAGATTTTTCTTACAATGTGGAAATCACATTGTCATAAAAATGCTGGGAAACAATGAATTTCAGAGCTTTTCTCCATTTCAGCTCACCTTCCAACGAGGCAGGCAGTCTTTAGGCTTCCAGTGGCCTCCTAGTTTGATAGTGGGATCTTGAGAGAAGAATTGGTGGATCTCCTCCATACTAATTTCACTCATATTTACATCAATGGGACCCTCTGTGTAAACAGTATTTTAAACAAAGAAAATGAGAAAAATGCACCTTTGGCTGATTTCTTTACATATTTTGAACTGTGTTACATTACATTGCAGCCAGTTTCAGTTTATACACAACCAGAATTCCTAGTCTGGAGTCAGCAGATTGCTAATAACTTCATAACCATCTACCATTTCAGACACTGGCTTAATTCATGTTGCACAGTTATGAAAAAGGCTTAACTTTTAGAGGTGAATTGCATTAGTTAAGAAATCATCTCAGACATTATCTGTTCTGCACTGAACTCAGCTTGCAACAGATAAAATCTACCAAGACTTCTTAACTTGCAGTGATTTTCCTTTGAAAGCCACACCTTTGATGTAACTATGCAAGACTGAAAGATATTATTATTATATAATTAAAAAGGAGTATTATGGCTTGCCAATAAAGCTTAACATTTACTACTATCTTCTTGTATGCAAATACTAGAGAGCAATCAACTCCATGTGGCTGTCTGTTGTTTCAGGTTCTTCCGTACACAAGGTCTGGGAGGTGCAGCCAACATTATTCACTCACTCTAAACATTACCCATATGGTGGAAAGGGAAAAAATGCAGATATACAGCTCTCTTTGTACAGTGTCTTTTACCTAATGGATAATTTAGGTTGCCAATTATGGATCCACATGTGACATTCTAAGCCCTGAATAGGGCTACTGCCTAATGGAACATGTCTGTTACCTGAAGTTCTTCTGTAAGGACTGACTCTTTTTTTCCTAACACTGATATTTATATGTTCAGATATCTTAAAAAGCAGAAATGTTCCTCAAAGGGTGGAGGTCTTGAGGTTAAAGCAAAATGTCATGGCTCAAGTTGTATACCCCAAAAGTAAGGAACCTCACACCACAAACCAACATGGGCACATGGATACACTCTTCTTGTACCTTAAGAATGCACTTTAATATAACCAACTAAATATTAACATCAATCCACTTGGTGTCATATCCCTAAACAGCACATCATTAGTGATTAGAAGAGCTGACTTGAAAAACGCAGGTTTTGAAAGTGTTAGATGCTTACTGCAGATTAACAGTATAGTCCTGTTCATACTTAAAATAATCCTTACTAGTCAAGCAAGTTGGCCTGTATTTGGGGAAATAAAGCCTTGTTTTGTTTAATGGGCTAAGCTGAAGGCAAGCAGAAGGGGATTTTCCTTTTTAGAGAAAGAGTAGAATGAAACTCTTGTATTTCCTTGTAGCAGAAATTAAGATACAAGAAAGATACACCATTGTGCCCATGTTTTGAATGAAGACAGGGGGACTGACCTGAGGCCTGAATTCCTTTACTTTTGGAAGTACATTCAATCCTAACCTTTTCCTTTTAAACCAAAAGTTTGCATTTCTTTGAAAAATATTACTCCACTGTATTTTTGCCAATGGGCAGTTGCTGACAAGCAAGAAAATGGCAAACATACATCTAGTATCCTGTAAGCACAGAATGAGCCAAATAAATAGATAGTAATTTCAGAACCATAATAGACAGTGGAAGTATCTTCATGTACAAACTCCCCAAAGGACACTGGCCTTTGAACTGAAGCCTCACTAAACTCAAGTGGTCCCCAACCTTTTCTAAACCGCGGACCGGTTGGGGTGGCCGGGGTCCGTGCACGGGGGGCATGCACTGCACGGGGTGGGCGGGGTGTGCTCGCACACATGCATGGGTGGGCGGGGCACCCTTGTATGCAGGTGGGTGTGCCATGTATGGGGGGCATGCATTTGGGGGGACGGGAGTGTGTTTCTGTGGCCTGGTCCTGCCAAGGACTGGTACCAGGCCACAGACTGGGGCTGGGGACCCCTGCTCTAAAGGACATGGACTACTGAAATGCTACTAGCCAAAGTGCTACTGGTAGCCACGTGAGGTTTGTGTAACTAACTGGCAATTGCCAGGGTGCGCCTCAATTATGTAATCAGGCATACAACTGAGATGTATCCAACACTTCATCAATTAACCATAGCTGCACAAAGTCCACAAACCTTATATAAACACCATTAACATTCCAGCTGAAATGATTACATCTTTGGGTAGATCACTTCTTATGCTCTCATAATCTATTCCTACAACTCATTCTGATTTCTATAAACTCAAGAGTCTCCACACACACTTGTCTAATATGAAAGTTAGGCATATGGTTTTGATAGTCATAATAATACTCACTCATAGAAGGGAGTCTTTCAGGGCAGGTATAGTTTGGAAAGTACGTAAAGTCTTCAGGAAGAAAAGTTGTGGTTTGCAGAATGGTTTCATTGTGATTCAGATCAAGAGGATAATCTGCTGAAGAGAAAGAGAAAATGTTCTGCTGAGGTTATATATGCTGCAGTCTTTACTTCATTAACATTATTATTTGTTGTTGTTTAGTCATTAAGTCATGTCCGACTCTTTATGACCCCATGGATAATGTTTCACATATTAGCTTTATTTATATTTATTATAACATTATTAGTAGTACCCAATAAATGCAGGTAGCTTATTTCTTGGTGTTTGTATCACTATATAGTACAAATGAGAATTTTGATACTCTTTTACTGCTTAGTGAGAATGGAAACTATGGAGTTACAGGACTATACTAGGTCTTTATTGAGTATTACAAACTCAGCTGAAGCTATTAACTGACTTCTGCTGTCAAAAACTATAGTAACTCTGGCAGCTTGCTCCTATTTACACTCCAGTATTGACTTGCAAAGAGCACACAGCCCAAGGTACTCAATTAGCATCTGGATGAACTTCTTTATCATGCCTACTTGTTATTGTCATAGCAGTATTTAAATAAATTCCTCTTAATAACAGGTGACTTGAATGTGCTGCTGTTTTTGTTGTTGTTTTGTTCTATGCCAAAATCGCTTTATGATGGCCAGTACATGCTTAAAAGTCTATAAAACTGAATAATATATACTATAGCAACAATAATTTCAATTCATGAATTTCCTCTTCTTTGTATAGTCATCACAACTACAGACATAAGAAGGAACTCAATTTAATATTCAGTGGTGCCCCGCATAGCGATGATAATCCGTGCAGCCAAAATTGTCGCTATACGGATTCGTCACGATGCGAAATAAAAAAGCCCATAGGAATGCATTAAAACCCATTTAATGCGTTCCTATGGGCAAAAAACTCACCTTTATGCGAAAATCCTCCATACGGCCACCATTTTCGCTGCCCAGTAAGCGAGGAATCTGGGCGAAAACACAGCGGGCGGCCATTTTGCCATCTTTTCCGCTCCAGCCCCTCCCCACCTCACAGCTGATCGGCGCTGGTCTTAGAAGCTTCCCCAGGCTTGCCCAGCAGGTAAACAAGCAGTGGAAATGCACTGGGGAAGCCTCTGAAACCTGCGCTTTCCCAGGGTGGGTGGGGCAGGCCCACCCCCGCCCCCTCGCACCCCCCCACGGCAAAGCGGGGCTTTCAGAAGTGCATTTTCACTGCTGAAAAAGCCCCAGGAGGCTTCTGAAAGCAGCGCTTTGCCAGGGTGGGGATGGGTGGGGGTGTGGCAGGGGCAGGCCCGCCCCCCCAGAGCCCCTCCTCACACAACTGGTCATGCTGACTAGGGGAGTTGCAATCCAATCAAATCTAAAGGTCCCATGTTCCAAAGCCTGCAATAAACCTTCACTCAAGCTTCTGCCTTTACTGCACATTAAAACTGTGCCACAAATTTCAGCTCATTTGTTCTTTTTTTGTATGGTGTTAAAAGGAAAAGGTCGAAGTGGTTGCATTTAGAATTCAGTGGAATAACAACCTACACTAAAGTACAATATGACTAGTATAACCTGCAGGAAAGAGAAAAAAGCCTCCTCATGCTTCTGTGTTGCTTCATGCTATATTTCATAGCCTCTTCTCAACCCATCTTAAAAAGCATTAATAAAAAATTAAACTACTGGGATTTCCAGCAAAGACTGGGTTAGTTGTGTAATATTTTAAAAAAAATGGAAGAGACTTAAATGTCATTAAAGGCTTTTTACAAAGAAGAAATTGGTAACGTTTTCTTCTTCTGGGTATGGTCATACAAAGGGAATTAAGTGACATTTGTTATAGGACGATACTAAACAAAGTGGTGTCCCTAACGTTAAGAAAGTTTCTATGAAAGTATGCTTATCAAATTTAGGGTTCAATATACAAACTACTATTAAAACACAAGTTCAAAAACATAATTTCTGCAACTAGCATTTGTACAAAGGCAAAGAATTTGAATAAATGGCTATATGAGGTATACAGAAATCTTAAACTGTGTGTGTTTATCTTCCTTTGGATTTAGTGCAGGCATAATAGATCTAGCATCTCCCTACAAATGTCCAGTGGATTTTGCTAGACTACAGTATTAGACAATAACACAAATCTCCAGAGTGGCTCTGGCTTAAGGGTAAGATGGGCTATACAGTAGTTCTTGTGTATACAATTCAAGTTGAGACATAACAGTTATAGAATTGACTGTGGCAGACATAGACAACTTCTGGAGATACAAGGGCCATGTCCACTAAACTCAACCTAGGGAAGAGAGAGTTATCTTTCATCCAAACCTAATAGACATGTGCCCCACACCGATATAAATTCCCCTCAGGTTAAAACTGGGAAAATGAGTGCCTACTCTGTAACAGAAGATGGGATTTAATAGTCATATTTTGCATTGCATCTTTAAAGGGGAAATCTTTGCAAATAATATTTTCAGTTCTTTAAAAAACTTCCAATTTATGAATGCAGAATATCATCTTTCTGTATCCATTATTATTATTATTATTATTATTATTATTATTATTATTATTATTATTATTATTATTATTATTATTATTATTATTATTATTATTATTATTATTATTATTATTATTATTATTATTATTATTATTATTATTATTATTATTATTATTATTATTATTATTATTATTATTATTATTATTATTATTATTATTATTATTATTATTATTATTATTATTATTATTATTATTAAATTCCAAATGCCAGGAAATGGCCTGATGCTTCTGTACAATATCATGCCCGTGTTGCCAGCAGGAAAAAGAATGCCAAGCTTTATATTGCAAAGGGCAGCCTTAATGCTGACAACACTAATGGCATCACTCACGTCACCCATTCACAAAGAGACACCAAGCAAGAGAAAATCCCAGAAGCTGACCCCTAACCCCCAATGGTTAATCACTTCTCAACCAAATGCAAAGCAATTGTCAGAGCTGTTTTTTGACAAGTCTGAATGGTAGTGAGCACAAGAGAATATCCCATTAACTCATATAGTCACCACACATCAGAAGTGACTTGATGGCACATAACATATCTAGACCATTTTTTAAAATTACCTTTAAACTATTGTTCAGTGCAAGGGTCTCCAAATTACAGCCCATGGGCCAAATCTGGCCTGCCTTGCCTTTTTATCCAGCCCTGTGTGCACGTGTGGGGGTGGGAGTGGGAGTGGGAGTGTGTGTGTGCTCAAGCTCTCGTATGCATGCACGTGCATCTTCCTCCAGCCCTCGAAAATGTGTAACATGTTGTGGCCCTTACTCTGAAAAGTTTGAAGACCCTGGTATAGTGACAAGATAGGTGGAATGATGGAGATGATGATAGGATATAGGCACCAAAGCTCTGATAACATCAAGCAAGACCATCTCCAGCCACAAAGCAAAAAACAGGTCCCAGACTACAACTACAGATTGTTTTCTATCTTGTAATGATCAATATTCATAATACGTACCTGAGTCATTCCCACTGCTGTTTCTCTTAGCATAGGCACTACGGACTACCTGTTCATAAACCTGAGCTCCTATCGTTCTCATGTTTTCACGTATCATAATACCTTGGGCTTGCATCATGAAGAGGTAGGTGTTTACTGGAAGAAGAAGAAATTTAAAAAAAAACAGAAAAGGAAGGGTAGATTAGTCAAGGCCTTTCTGGGGGGGGGAACCAAATACAATCTACATCTTTAGAAACAACTTCTGCTTCTCCAACATCATGTCAGAAAGAAAGGAAAGAAACACTAAAAGCTAGCAGGGCCATATTTCAGGGTATATAGTGCCAGAATATATACAAAAACTGAGAAGCAAAATATGTATTTTGCAAACACTAAATAACTACAGGCAAACTACCACTGTGGGCTATTCAGATGTCCACAGTGATAACTTTTACCTTCTATTTTAAAGATACAAAATTATGTTGGGTTTAAATTTTAATCTAGTCTGCATAACTCTTAAATAAAGCTTCAAAATATCTTAGTTATGGTTGGGGGAAGGTTTCCTTGCCTATCTCCCTACTCAAACAAGCAGTTCACAAAACAGAAAAAATATCAAATTGACATAGGATCATAGAGTATCTAAGAGGTTATGAAACTCTGCTTTTCTTTAGAATACAAATACGCAGATGTTACAGCTTTTCAAATCATCATATACAAGACAGAAATATATGATTCTTCCAATTTAAACCACTATCTGTTAAGAAAAGAGCTGTAGTAAAGAAGGTAAAACAAAATCTTAAATACCTTTAACTACCAAAACTGTACATCAAGCCTTGCACTCCACTCTCCCTCATATTATGTGCTGACTTCTGTGCTTTTTGACCTTGGTCATTAAGACTGCACTAAATAAACTCATTTTCAACTAGTATTTCCCATTTCAGAGATAAGGACAAAAGTAATTTACAGAGCTTCAGGTTGAAAGACCAACACTAATATTGGAGGGGAGTGCATGAGATTAATATTCCTCCCTAGTTTCATCAACTATGATGATTAAACTAGAATGTTACATTTAAAATGACCCTGAAGGTGATAAAACAGTAGTAATAAAACTATGGGTGATATTAGAGATTGCATAAAGGTAAAAGTAAAGGTTCCCCTTGACAATTTTTGTCCAGTCGTGTTCGCCTCTAGGGGGTGGTACTCATCCCCGTTTCCAAGCCATAGAGCCAGCGTTTGTCTGAAGCCAATCTTCCGTGGTCACATGGCCAGTGCGACTTAGACACGGAACGCTGTTACCTTCCCACCGAAGTGGTCCCTATTTATTTAATTGCATTTGCATGCTTTCGAACCGCTAGGTTGGCGGGAGCTGGGACAAGCGATGGGAGCTCACTCCATCGCGTGGATTCGATCTTACGACTGCTTGGTCTTCTGACCCTGCAGCACAGGCTTCTGCGGTTTAGCCCGCAGCGCCACCACGTCCCTTCCAGAGATTGCATAGTTTCTAATATAAACATTGTCTGATACGACTTTGTTGCAATGTGCATTTTTCCAGTGCTATCTTATATTTCTTGATTCAGGAAAATTATGGGACATACCTGTCACCTCAGACATGTCCCCACTGCCTTAGCATTACTATGCCTTGTTTATTATTAAAAACTAAAAAGCTGGGTATACAGCAAAATATTATTACTTTGTCAGGTGCACAGACACACTGGAATGTACATGTACCGTAAAGAAATAAAAGAAGGAAGAAACCACAAGAACTTATGTCAACTAACAGCACAAGGTTTTAAAAAAACTAACAATGAAATAACGAGTGAAATGATAAACATTTAAATAAGACCAAATGCAGGATGTAAGAAATTAATAGCCAGAACTGAACTATCTAATGAAGCAATATATTGCATAATATGGTCTAAGAGTCCATCAGACTTGGGTATGAAGACTGGTACATGCTGATAGCAGGGAGTTACAAACTTCGCTATTGCACATGCCGACTCAGATAAGAGAACAAAGGTTAGGCAGGCTACCTGAGGTTATTGCCCTTATATTCCACTATGAAGTTCTCTTGTAAACTTTTGAAGTTAGAAAACATAAGAATTGGATTAAATTAGAAATCTGAAACACTTGAATTCTATATGCAAATTGGAACTGTTTTCAATGACAAATCATACTAACTTGCAAACTATTCTTCAGCTCAGATTAAAATGTAAACTGGAAAATTGTTTCCAATGAACTGATAATGTGAACTGATATTCACAGAGATATGAAGGAGAATGAGTTTTTCACTTACTCTCATATTTCATTTTCACCCAGGAATTGCCTTCAGGCAAACTCACAGAGAAATTTGATCACTGCTTTGCCTGTGGGGTTGCTTGAGGAGCTGCAGCCAAAAAAAAACTCTTTGGACTGCATAGGAAAAAAGATCCAAGTTCTTTGAGTGTTGTTGCTGTTGTTTTTTTTAACTTTGCAACCTGCAATATTCCAAATTAAGAGGAAGTGAGCAGGGTTAATTTACCATCTCTGTTTCCTGGAAATATGCAAGAGACAGAATTGGAATATTGTTCCCAGGTCAGTTAGGCTTAAATTGTGCCACACAAAGATCCACTCCAGAGATACTTCCAAATATTCTCCAAACACATCAGTGAGCAGTACCACTAATAGCTATGTGTTGACTGATATTAACCATGTGATGCTAGCACATTTATACTTTGGCAATAAGCACATGGTATAGTAGTTTATCAATCAGGTCTTCACTTATACAGTGATTGAAAACTTTCATTACCATTAAATGGATTACATGTGTAGTTTTTACACAGGCTTGCATAATGTATCAAACACAACTGTGAAACAAAGCAGAATTTAACCCTTGAAAAGAAAACATTACTAATTTCATTTCATTTAACCTAAAAAATTAAAATATTTTTATTATTTGCCAACTTGAAGTCCACCAATTTATAGCAACTTTCATATGGCTTTTAAGACAAGCTAAAGGTGTAGTTTTACCAGTTAAAACCCTCACCCACATAAGCTTCTATGGATGAGCAGGGATTCCACTCCAGGTCCCCCAAGTCCCAGCCCATTGCCCAATCTACTACACCACACTGGGTTCTCTAGTCACCTTTAATTTTGCTGAAAATACAAAAGGAACTCAATTCTAGAAAACCATACAGTTTCAACTTTATGCACACAAGGGCTGTCCTGCTTTGAAACACACATCTTTTTGCAAGCCTACTCTGAACAGGAAGATGTGCCAATAATTTATTTTAACTGTTGGATACTTGAAAAGTTGGATACACCAAGCAAAAGAATCAGCTCCGAAGGACAGTTTAAAGATATACACTGAATCTGCAAAGTGCTAGCAGCAAATTACTTGGAACAGACATGAGAAGGCACTCAGGATTTTTCTAAACTCAGATACTAGTTGCATTTCCAGAATTCAGAAACCTGTAGCCCTCTATATGTAGCAGGACTACAATTCCCATGACCACTAAGCTTTGTCCATGTACTTGTTGGAGTGAATGGGCATGAGAGTTCACAAGTAGGTCACAAGTTCCTACCCATGTTAACTCAGCAAAACCAAGAAGAGCAATGTGTTTCAGATACTGAAGTCTGGAAATCATGAAAATTCCTGGTTTTCCTACAATTGTAAAATTGAAAGGTTGCTCTCCAAATAAATATATATAATTTCATGGGCAAAAACACATACTCAAGAATGGACAAATGGCTAGAGAATTAGACATAAAAATTAAATGGTGACAACTGCAACCTGTCTTTACTGAATCCTATTAGGTTGGGAAGCCGACAGTTTTAGAATTTCTTTGTTCATTACATCTGTGGGAAAAGGGCTGTAGCATACTGCCCCCTGACAAGCATGTTTTCATTGATCAGATTTTTTTTCTGTGATGTTACTCTGACTGTATTTGGAAGTGGTACTATAATCGAGACATTACCCAAAAAAATCAAAGTCTGAGAAAAATCTATCTGACACTGTGGCTGTCAGTAACAACTTACTCTTTCCAGTATCCAAGGTATCAGCCATGTCCTCCCTCTATCTCAGTAACATGAAACTGGGAGTCTGGCAGGGTGGAGAGCTTGGCTAACTCCTAATTGTACTAGGCACAACTAGCTCTATTCATAATTAATGTCCAGATAAATGACGGATTGATGAAAAGGCTACAAGTAGGAAGAAACCAGTAACAATCAGCTATCCTCCCCAAAGTGCAGCTCTGTGCTGCCTGAGATGTATTTTTAAAAAGTATGACGGTCTGTTAAAGACAGTTAACTAAACATTTGACAAGTCTGTTAAAGACAGTTAAACTAAATAACCGGACAGGCTTCTGAATTGCTCACATAATACATATCCAAATGTCTTTAGTGTCTTGCTGTCTATTTTCAGATTTCAGATCCTCCATATGTTTTACAGGAATTGAACATGCTTCAGGTTATGAATTTAGAGTATCTTTCTCATGTTCTGCCTGTATGAATAATAACCTGAAAAGGCTTAACACGATGGGCCAAAAATCTAATAAAATTATATTAGCAATCGAAATCCTTTGGCAAGGTGACTTCTTATAGCCAGGGAAATCAGAAGATGAGTAACTTCTGACACATGGATACCGCAATTACAGTACTCTTCATCTTCTGCTATTACTTGTGCTGCTGCTGCTAAAGGAATCAATTATCAGCATTAGTGTATATTATTAATTCATATCATGCCTTGACAACTGCACCCTAGCAAGCAATAAATATGCATAGATAAATAAGGATTTGGAAGCAAATGCAATCCTATTAAAACACTCCTTAATGAGGGTGAGAGGAATTCTACTTAAGCAGATTACAGGAAGCCTACATGCCTCTGAGTTATTTGTACAAGGAATAAATTCTACAGTGGTGCCTCGACTTACGAACTTGATTCGGGAAATCCGGCCGTAACTCAAAATGGTTGTAAGTTGAAGCACCATTTCCCATAGGAATGTACTGAAATGCAATTAATCCATTCCAGCCGAGGGGGGGGAAAACATCCCCCCCCAAAAAAAACCCAAACAAAACTGCAAGACCCATCGGAAACACGATTAATCCATTCCTGCTGAAGGAAAAGAAAAAAGAAAAGGAAACAAACCATGCAAGACCCTTCGGAAATGCAGAAAATGCAAAGC